AGAGACAGAGCAAAGAAAAGGACCACGTACTGTGTCCGTACCGCTCATGTCGTAGAAGGCGACTAGAGTAAGGAATCGGTTATCTTTCCCGTAAAACAAAACAAAACAAAACAAAACAAAAAACAGCTGCAAAAAACATCAACAGCAAAAAACAACACGACCGCCAGTTCTGGAAGATGGGGGATCGACCTTCATCACCGAAGAGAATCGAGGACATCATGGAAACAGCTAGAAATCTAGAAAAGGATGCACAAGACAGGCTTCGCAGGAGAAATGTTGTTGATGGCCTATGCTCCACTAATAAGGGAGTTAAAAAGGGTGAGAGAGAGAGAGAGAGAGAGAGAGAGAGAGAGAGAGAGAGAGAGAGAGAGAGAGAGAGAGAGAGAGAGAGAGAGAGAGAGAGAGAGAGAGCTTGGACAAGTCACCAAACGTTGGCGCCCATTCTCCCACATAATAATGATTAATTATAGCATAACATATCTGACTCTGTGACACCCATGACTTCCTTTACAAATATTATCTCGACTACTATTTAGATCTAATAAATGGGTATATTTTCATCTCAAGCAAGACACATAAACAAACTTTAAGATTATACCAATTTAACTTCAAATGAAAATAAAACTCAAAAAATTACGAACGCCTGATTCCATCGTGTTGTGACACATGGTATCGTATCTTAGTATCTTACTCTGGTCACCCGTTCGCGTATATTATTATTCTTTTATATATCATTTTAAGGTCAAGTCAATTGAATAGGCCCATGACTCAATTGTCTTTCTGAGACCTACCCTTTTGACATTGTCTGCAAACTTATATTATGTTAATTAAGGTGGATCTAATTTAAAAGGAAAACCGCGACCATCTCGATTTACTTTTCACTGAAGGGCCGAGAAACACGAGCTGATTTCTAAACCCAATAGGCTACCTTTGGTTACGACCTGTTTCATGTAATTTGCGCCTCAAAGGTCAGAAAAAAAGATGAACCCCCCCCCCCCCCCCCCAAAAAAAAAAGAAAAAATATTGAAACGTCCTAGTTAGATCTAGATCTAGATTTAGATAATATCTAGATCTAGATCTAGATCTACATCACAATTCATAATAAGATGAATTGATAAAAACCGAGCACCTGTCAACACGGCTGTTTTTCTTTTTTAAGTAGCTCTTTAATCTTTAGAGAACAAGGACATTCACAAGCTTGCTATGAATAGACGTCCAGGCCTTGGGTAACTATCCTGATGATTCATTGGGTAGTTATGATCACATGACAGACATTATTGTTTACGGATGAGGGATTATTGTATTTGTAGTTTGTAGTGTTTTCCCGTCATTTCGACATTGCTGTATCAACGCAGTGTACAAGAGAGCTCATCAGTTAAACAAATCTGCAACTTTTCTCGTACTACTTCGAAAACATGGCAAGTGGAGGTTTCGACATCGCTAAAGCTGGATGGTTATACCGCCAATGTACGTTGAAACTACAGGTTGCGAGTGTGGCTATTCCATAGATGTACACTATAGTACTAGATACCGTACACCCCTCTCTCGGCTTGCTGCGCGATGGCCACATTTGACAGTGGCGTCCGCCATGTTTTTTGTGGCAAGTTGTGTGAAGGAGTTCATGCTAAAGCAATGGGCTAGGCATGTTTTCTCTCTCTCTCTCATACGCGATAGGCGAGGCTTGGTTCTTGTTGATTTTTTTTTTTACATGGGCGCCGTGGCGTACTAGATCTAGATATCTATATATAATAATATATAGACTCTATATATCTAAATTACTAAATTGCAATAATAGGGCGTTCTTTCTACAACTAGATCTACAAATAAATGTATTATTAAATAGATAGAGATAGAGATATATATGGCATGGGCTTTAAAAAAAGAAGAAAAAAAACCCAACCTTTATTTGTTCATCAGCACTTTATCTACGAGGTGGTTTATTTCTTATTGACCGAATCAAAGTGTAGTATAGGGCCTATAGAACTTTTAAAAAGAAGTATGAAAAGATGTGGGTGTCATGGGAACCTCCTATAACCACCCACCCTCTCTCTCCTCCCGAATCCCAATACCAACACCCCCACCCCCCCCCCCGGATATGAGTTTGCCATTAAGTTAAATGAGGATGAGCCATAGGTAAAAAAAAATTCCAGAGTTTTTCAGCCTTTAGCCACTTTAGGTGTAGGAATGCAATTCAAAGCTCTTGATAAAGCAAATTCAGCCAAACAAATGATGAATACATGTACTGGTATTTTTTAAATCGAGTTAAACTTTCCCATGTGACATTTGAACAGGAAACTGTATTTTTAATTCATATGTTCACTTTTTAAAAAAGTATACTAAATTATAAGTAGTGTTTTCTTATGTCGGTATTAAACTTTGGTTTATATTGATTTTAAGAACTAAAGTAGACCATATACAGCACTTAAACTAAAGCTCCTCCTATTGCTGTTTTAAGTAAGTCTAATTTTGGACATTAGTAAAGCAACTGTGACAACTCTGGACTCACTAAAGATTAAAAAAAGTGAACTTAAACGTTGTTTTGTAGCCTAGTCAATTGTTTTTCTACTCAGTGTAGTGATAACTGAAACGCTCTGAAACAAAAACCTTTACTAAGGTGTTTTTGGACAACTTTCAATAAAACAAAACAATAAAAAGTACACTGTTTCAGTCTCATAAAGAAATTTCCTGCCCATTGTGAAAAAGATCTAGCTGCTAGTCAACCTTAACTTCACATGGCCCAGAACCTTACTGATGGCTCTTTATGTTTTAAAAAAGAAACCCGGAGTGACTATTTGTGTCTATAAGACATATTATGCACTAAAAATAGATGATCATGTAATAAAAGAAAACAGACATCACTGAACTACCTGACAGAACCAGTAAGACGTTAATCCACTGCCGGTTTAAGGCATGATGAGGGGGAAATTTTGAAATTCGTTAAGAACAAAAAACTAAGCTTACAAATGTGGTAGCATTATTGGTTAG